TCCGCGTCGGATCTCGCATCGTCGCCTTCGCGGCAAGAGCTATCCCCGGCAATACAGACCAAAACTGCAAGCCGCGCCCACTTGCTCGAGCTTCCAGTGGAGATAATTCTTCACGTCGTCGACTTTATATTTTACAGCAATCTTGAGTCACTGCGGAAAGGTTACAACGAACCCGAGCAGTGTGAGCGTGGTTGGTACCCGGATTTCGATCGCTTCTCAATCTGGGGAAGGGCCATCAGACTCGCCAAAACTTGCAGGGCCCTCAACTCCATTGTGACGCCTGCCATCTACCGAGCCGACATCAAATGGAACCGTGGCTCGAGTCTCCTCTTGGGCGCCAAGACTGGCTGCGCTTCGACCATTCAAAAGGCTCTTGAAGCCGGCGCTGAGATAGACATGTGGGACTTCACGGAGCTTTACGACGACTTTGAGGAACTTGAATACAATATGTCTAGTGCGGACGTCACAAGAGAACCTGTCGAAATCGAAATGACTGCACTACACTGGGCCGCATATCACCGACACGTTGACGCGATCTCGGTTCTGTTAGAACACGGCGCGAACATCCAAACCCCTGGGAATCTCAGTTGTTTGCACAGAAAATATATGAGATTTTCCACGTATTCTTACTTTCGGGTGGTAGCATACATCATGCCTCACTTCTCTGGCTTTAGACAGTTTGACCAACGAAATTGGCTGCATTACGTGCTGGAGGGGATATCAGACGATGAGGGGCCCAATGTGCTGTACTACGCCCTGATGGAGGATATAGATTACGATCCGGTGGTGTCGCGTGGGCAACCTCGATATACCCAAGAGCAGAGGAACCGAAGAGAGGAATCCAAGATAGCCGCTGTCAAGACACTCTTGCAGGCAGGAGCCTCAATGACGACGCATTCCACCATTCTTCTCCATGCGCTGCACCAGGCATGCGGCAACTGGGACGCAGAGATGGTGGCGTTCTTGCTGGAACAGGGCGCCGATGTTCATGTTCGGGACATACTCGGAAACACGCCGCTACATTATGTCGCGATGCGTAAGCTGTATTACCGCGAACCACCTCGGGAGGTCGTCCGCGTGCTACTGCGCCACGGCGCTGATATCAACGCCGTGAACAGACTCGGTCGCACTCCGCTCCAAGTCTGCTTCGAGTACAATACAGAAACGTATCGAAAAGCTTACCGACTAGAGAAAGAAAGAACGAACTCTGCACCACTCGTTGCGCTCCTTGAATCAGAACCTCGGCGATTTCCTGGAATCATGCAGCTTATGTTACGAGATTTAGATTGGTATAGCGAACCATACGAAAACCTCTTGATTCGTGAGGCAATTGCTCTGGCTTTTGGGAAAACAGAGCCCGCATCAAAGGAGAAGACAAGTCGCAACAATCAGTACAAAGCTGGAAAGGAGGCTCAAACGGTTTTCATTGCCATTTATGATATGCTTCGAAATTACGTTGAAGACAAGACTGCTTTCCCCGAATCCGTACAAAGTTTGCGGCGCTGGTTAACAGATGATTGGAGCTTATTTTGGTCCAAGCGGCCATGGTAGATTACTGTCAGATATGAAGAGCATACTTATCTGGTTTTGATGTATCTACTTGGACATGAATCTTTCGCTAATCCCATCTTGGCTTGAAAACTTGGTGAGGGACTAATCTTCAGACTACTAGGTAGGTATGTTTCCTTGATCCAGATTGGAAGATGAACATCAGCAGCAATCGGGCCTCGCGATGATATCGCCCGTAAAGTCCGCCAGAAAACTCGAGTCCAACAAACGCAAACGGCAAGAATTCGCCGAAAACACGGTGGCCCGGAGTCATTAATATCGCCGGCCCGATCCCGTCTTCGGTTTCGGTTTCGGCGCCGGGTGTGGTGGCTTGAACCCGGTCGCGGCGGGTCTTTCGGCAGGCATTGGGGGATGTATGACTCCTCGCCGCCGTGGGCAGCGGGAGATGATCTCCATGCCGATCGCGAAGAGCTGGATTCTATGTCGCATTTCGATGTTTCCTGGGGAGGTTCTGGCCGAGCTGAGGTCTTCATCGTCTTTGTCCTCATTGTCGTCCCCATTGTGTTTGTCAAAATTTTTGGTCTTGTTGTTGTTCTTATGGCCCTTGCTGCCGTTGTATTTCTTGTTACTTCCGTTTTGTTTGCCATCTTTGGCATCGCTCTCGCATCTGTCGTGGCAGTCTACCCTGCTGATCTACAGTAGAGAACAGACTGACCACGGTTGGATGTAACCCAGATCGTACCCGTAGACCTTCCGCATGCCCTACGCAAATTGAGCCTAAAGCGAAGGCAGATTGAGACCCCACTGCGGTAGCACCGGCGCCTCGCATTCGGTTTGCAGAAAAGGGGGCGCAAGAAGAATCTACCGATGATGATGAACTGAGCCACACATGTGAACCCCGACGATTGAAGAGAAACCGAGATGTCATGATGGGCGATGGGGAGTACTTATACCTGGCGATATGCCAGAGACTGAATTCGTTTCGTTTGCCTTGGCATTGCTTCAGTGTTGATCAATTTCTCGAAACATATTGACAATGTTACGCAACAAACTCTCTGCCGTGTTAGCAGCACTTCACGCCGCGTCTGCGGTGGCAGCGACCAACACATCATGTAAATGCGTAAGTAATCCATCCCAGTCCAACTCTTGACCACGAACTTGCCCACTAACACGACTATCAATACCAGGCACCAGGAGACGCCTGCTGGCCATCCGCCCCAACATGGGACGCCTTCAACACCTCCATCTCGGGCAAACTCATCGCAACAAAGCCCGTCGCCATTTCCTGCTACCCAGGCCCCGACTACAACCCCTCCGCCTGCGCCAGCGTGCAGCAGAACTGGTTCACCGGAAGCTGGCAGTCCGCCAACCCCGTCGGCCTCGACTACCCCCTGAACATAACCTGCCCGCCCCCCTCCTCAACCGCCGCAAACTCCACGGCCACGGGATCCTGCACCCTGGGCACCAACCCGCCCTTCGCCGTGAACGTCACTAGCACAGATGACATCGTCGCGGCACTCCGATTCGCGCGAGAAAATTACCTTCGCGTCGTGGTAAAGAGCACCGGCCACGACGTCCTGGGTCGCAGCGACGGGTTTGGGGGGTTAGAGATTTGGCTCCGCTACTTCCGCAACGGCATCGACTTCCAGCCGGCATACACCTCCTCGACCGGGTGTGATGCGACGCCTTGGACGGGCAACGCGATGAAGCTTGGCGGCGCGTACATGTGGGGCGAGAGTTACGTCGCCGCGCGCGAGAACAACGTCGTTGTCGTTGGCGGCGGGAGCTCGACCGTCTGTAGTACCGGCGGGTGGATGCAGGGCGGCGGCCACGGGCCTGCGAGCCATACCTTCGGCCTCGGCGCGGACCAGGTTCTTGAGGCGGAGGTGGTTCTTGCGAACGGGACACTTCTCACAGCGAACGCGTGCCAGAATCAGGACCTCTTCTATGCCATCCGTGGAGGAGGGCCGGGGACGTATGGGGTTGTGGTGTCGACTACGATCAAGGCGTACCCGCAACTTAAGGCCACTGTTCAGAACTTGCAGATCGCAGCGAAAGACGGCGCGTCAAGAGACACTTTCCTCGACGCCCTGACGACGCTGTACACCTCCATCCCGGAACTCGTCGAGGCGGGCTTTGCGGGGTACCCCCACTGGCAGGTCGACGGCCCTGCGCCCTCGTTCAACAACTTCACGACCGCCTACTCCCACTCCATCTACGCCTTCAACAAATCCCAAGACGAAGTCGAGGCGGCCGGCAAGTTCCTCCTCGACCGCATCAGCAACTTCAGCGACGTGCTCTTCGTCAACTCAAGCTACGTCAGCTACCCCGACTACTGGTCCTTCTTCGGCAACACCAGCGTAGACGACAACCCCGTCGGCCTCATGGCCGCCTCCGGCTCGCGCCTTCTTGACACCGCCGCTGTGAGCAATCGCACCGCCGTCCGCTCACTCCTCAACGTCTTAGCCGGCGCGCCGGGTGAGTTCGTAACCAACGTCATCTCCCTCGTCTCCGGCGGGCAGGTCTGGAAAGACGGCAGCAACAAGTCGTCAGCCGTGCTCCCGGCGTGGCGGACGGCAGTGCTGCACCAATCCGTCGCGCGCATCCTCAGCAACGACGTCAGCGCCGAGACGTGGGATGAGGTGCACCACGACGTCACCTATAACAAGATCGGGGCCATGAAGGCATTGGCGCCCGGGACGGGATCGTACATGAACGAGGGCGACGCGCTTGATCCGGACTGGAAGGCGAGCTTTTACGGGGAGAACTATGATAAGCTCTTGAGTATCAAGAATGTGTATGACCCCGAGTCGATGTTTTACTGTCCCACGTGTGTGGGGAGCGATATGTGGGAGGCGGATGGTGCTGGTCGGCTTTGCCGAGCGTCGTAAGTGGTGGTTTGAGATAGAACCGCTCTAATATAGGGTGGAATAGACCACCTGCTAAATTCTGTGAATCAGTATGGCTGAACTTTTGGTGTACTTGGTAGGTTTGAACTTACACTTCGATTGAGGGTGACTGCGGTGAGCAGGAGTCATGGCGACGACAGTAAAGACGATGGCAAGGGATGACGACAGAGGACGACGACAGAGGACGACCACATTGGCCAAGACGACGATGGCCAATATGATGACAATAGCCATTACGATGACAACGGCCAATGTGATGACAACGGCCAATATGATGACAATGGCCAAAGAGCCGACGATATTGGCCAACACGATGTTGGCCAACACGGTAATGGCCGATACGACCATGACGGCAACGACGGCCATAAAAGGGAAGACATTGGGACAATAATCAATTCTCCTGAACAGAGACTTGGTAGTCGTGTCTGACGGCCTATAACTGTAACAGCAGCAATTACATGTAATCTATCCGGCCTATCCGTTGAAAACGAAACATAGGCATAGTCAAATCCGGGTATCCATACCAAACAACAGCAACCTAACGCCATACCTTCCCTTGATCTCACACCTGTTCCTGAAAGCCTAAGGCCGTCCCTTGACCTTATGAGCCTCGAAGCCGTCCTCGTCCTTACCGACAACGAACTTCTGGCCATTGGGCGTTTCAACCTCAAGGCCGCCCTTGGCACTGACGGGAGACATCTCGTAGAGCCATCTAGCAAGAAGGTAACTTCCAGCGGCCCAGGTCCAAACGAGGATGCCAACGGAGCATGTGAAGAAGAGCGTGGGCACGAGAACAAGGAGGGCGACGCCGACCCAGAATAGAGCGAAGATGACGGCAGCACCAAGGGCGAAGACGATGGTGGAGACGGCAAAGGTCGAGAAGACGATGATGGGCAGGGAGGAGAAGATGGCTTGGGCAACGATGAAGGCCTGGACAAAGTGAATTAGCGAAGTCATCCAATTGGAAGCCAGGTGGGCTTACGAAGAGGAGGGGTCGCTCCTGAGCGAAGTTGGAGACGTTGGAATAGGCTCTCTGTCTGGTGTCGAAGCTGACGACACGGTTTATCTGGCGCTGTCCATAATTGTAGACGCCGACGGCACTGTCCTTGGCAGTGGTTTTAATGTCGTTGTAGTCGGAGTGGGTGGCCATTTTCGGATTGCAGCTGGGGGGCTTCTGATGCAAGTTCGTGGAGATGTCAGGGGGTGTTGGAGATGTGACTGGGGTTTGTAGATCGGGATTCGGGTGTCTGGTCATTTATCAATTGACGACTGGTTCTCAAGGGATGACGGACGGCACTAGAGAAGACAAGGACAGAAGAGGGGTCGGGGGACGACGGGGGACGACGACGACGGACGACGGGGAAGGGAGACACTGCAGAAGGCAGGCAGGTGCTGAGGGGGATGAGGTGATGCAGGTGCAAGTCAGCGGCTGAAAACGAAGCTAAACGGAAAGTGCCCCCCTCAGTCCCTCAGTGTCTCTGGCAGGCGGGCAGGTGCGGTGCTGACGTTGTGGTGACTTCCTTCCTTCCGTCTGGGCTTGGTGCAGGAACGGACGTGGACGGGAAGTCGCGTCTGGCCGGTGTTGGCGCGTCTGCAGGTCGCAATCTAGCTCCTTCGTGCCTGCAGTTTCCCCCCAGCTTAATTGGCTTGGGCAGGCACTTTCCACTGCCACTTCCAACTCCACAGCCCACTTTCACCTCGGCAGGTGGTGCGAAAGCCACACCACAGACAGCAGCAGCGAGCAGCAGCCACAACCCTGCCTCCCGCTGTGATTGGATCCGGAGCTTGGGCCAGTTGCACCCGTGCGGATCTCAGGGAAGGTACCCACTACCCATTCCAGCAAGACGTACCTTTCCGCGTACCTTCGGTCCTTCCCAGATCTCTCACGGCTCCCACCTCCTTCTCTCCCCAAAGGAGTCACGTGCTCGTATCGGCCGGCCCGGAACGGCAAGGTCGCCCAGGTCCGTGACATGGTCGTGAACCTACCTCTGCTCCTCCCCTTTTTCAACGGCTGTCAAGCAATTCCGTCATTCTCTGATGTCGCGCCTTGCCCGTTGAGAGGGGTTGAAAGAAGCTCAGCAATCTGAAGGCTGATACGATACGAATCGCGCTCGGTCGACCTTGCTGCTGTTGTCGTGCATGCTGCAAGGCACATACATGGGTCCCGACCCGTAACACCAAGCTTGGAACACCACCACACTAGGAACGCAGCAGGACCCGGGTACCTCGTACCTCCACTTCACTCCTCGTCCTGATGCTCTTCCTCTCCACCACCAGCACTACCACTACTCCCACAACCACCATTTGAGTACCACCTCGCGCTGTTCGCGCATGCCATGCAGCCCGGCAGTATGAGAAGACGCCACAAGCTTGGGGATCAGATACCTTGGATCACCTCAGAGTCCAAGCGCCAAAACATTCCTTGAGACACACAAACATTCCGTCATTCGCGGATCGACCAGGAACACCTTCGTTCCTCATCCTCTCCAACGTCCAGCCCTCTCACCACGCCCAAATGCCAGTGCCATGAACGGCGACTCCCCAGGGACAGACTCGCCCTCTCTCAAGGCGGAGGTCAACCGCCTCGAAAATGGAAATGGGAACGCGAACGGCGGGAAGCAGAAGACGGCGTCTGGCGTGCGCGGCACCCGCATCGGCCACAAGAAGTCGCGGAACGGCTGCCAGCAGTGTAAGAAGCGCCGAGTCAAGGTCAGTTCATGAGTGGGACCGGGGTCAGTCGGGGTCCTACCTAAGGTCGAAGGATGCCAAGTCCCGACACTAGATGGCCCAATTGCTTGCGAATGGGAGCTAACGGTTCTCAGTGCGACGAAGCCCGCCCGTGTCGGAACTGCATCCGGCACGATGTCAAGTGCAGTCTGGTCCTGACCCCCTTTGCCCCGCAGCTTCCCGCAGTCACCGAGTCGCCCAAGCCGGCCCCGGAGGCGGCTAGCACTGCGACCCCCGGCAGCGTCGGTGAGGCTTCAACGAGCAGTCGCCCGGCCAGTCGGCGGGACAGGAACTCGCCTCAGCTATCGTCGTTGAAGGAGAAGCTTGCTGCCATGCAGGGGCTCCTGTCCGAGTTCTCAGCCGAGATGGATGCGCTCAACCATCAGGGAGTGAACGGGAACGCGAGCGAGACCTTTTCGGAATCGACGCGAGGAGACTCCGGGGACTCTCAGGGGGTTCCTCAGGCAGATTGGCTCACTGACATGCATCTGGTTCACCACTTCACGTCTAATACGGCACACACTCTGTCAGAGAATCCGGACTTCATCCACTTGTGGACAACCACTGTGCCGCAGATTGCGTTCGCCAACGTAAGTCGACATCATGACCTTTTTCTTTGCCTGCTGACTCGGGCAGGACTTTCTCCTTCACGGCATCCTCGCCGTTTCGGCCATCCACCTTTCACACCTCAACCCTGAGAAGAGGGACGAGTACACAACCATCTCCACACGGCACCAAAACATCGCCCTCAGCAAATTCTCTCCCGGCTTGAACGATATTGGCGAAAACAACGCGGACGCCTACGTCCTCCACGCCATCTGCATCTTTCTTCTAAACACATACTCAATAGCACACCCTCATGGTCCCATCACATCCAAGGACGTGGCTCAGTCCTTCATCTTGCTGCAGGGTAAGGTTTCATCCGTATGATTTCAAAGGGAAGCTAACAGGCGTAGGCATCAAGAGTATTCTCACACTACCTTTCGCTCATCGCTACATCTCCAACGGACCACTAGCACGATGGCTTTACCAGGGCGGCGTCGAGCCGGCCGTGGGTGGTAACTACGCCACCAAGATCGACGACCTCCTCAACCTTACCCGAAGCATGGCTCCGTCCGAAGATACGTCGATGTGCCAATCCGCCCTCGAAGGCCTCAAGCTCACCTTTGCCGCCGTCTCAACGCCGTCCCACCGATCCGGCCTCGTCTGGCGATGGGCAGTCTCGCTTCCCCAATCCTTCCTCGAACTCATGAGCCAGAACCACCCCATGGCTCTCGTTATCCTCATGTACTACGCCGCATTGGTTCACGCCTTTGAGCGAAAGCTATGGTACCTCAATGGATGGGGTGTGAATGTTGCTTCCGCCCTGGACAAGGCGATCCAGGAGCCGTGGAGAGAGTGGATTCAATGGCCGTTGCGGTGTGTCCGTGACGGCGTTGACATCAGGCAAGTCGAGCCTAACCCGCCGCCAGACACAATACCCAAGCCGCTGTCGCCCAGCATCATGCCTCCATTGTTCAAGATGGATCTATTCAGACTGGGCGAGCCTCCACCATGAACAGCCATAGCCTTGAGCCGATCGGTCCAGAGCTCGCTGCGGGCTTCACAAGGCCGGAAACGCTCATGTACAACACCTTGAACCATTTACATCGACAGCGGCTAAGACCAACCCAGTTGACGAGAGATCAACGAGCGCCACGAGTTGACGCGCTTTGAGCATGCCGGGCGGGCCAAGAGAACTGCTGACTCGGAAACCCCGAGAAAACACAGCAAGCAGCGTGCGCGACACGGCCTGTTCGATGTGGGCATGGGCCTCGAGTGGTCCCGGGGCAGATCCGGGCTGCTGCCCAGTGTGAACTGATATCGGCTCGAGCGCCGAAGATATCGCGCCTCCGACACTTGTTGAGAACCAATCGTCACATCAGAAACGCCAACGTGCCGCCCCCTACTTGGGTCCATTCACCAAACATAGGACGCCTTGTACCACCGGAGCCTAGTGTATTGCTGGAGCTTTGTCGCACATTCGTGTAAATAACTATACATACATTGGACTTATGATCATCGAATAATTATATCGTTGATGCCTTGATGCCAGATTTCGCGCAGGAGCGCAGACGCAGCCTTCAGGGTCGTCGTGGTGTCTCGATGAATGAGGACCTTGTCTGAGTGCACTCAGATCTTTGAGTGCGCCGGCCAACAACTGGACTGCGTATTAAGTAAAAACGAAAAAAACACAGTGCGACCGGCAGGAATAGCAAGTGATTGACGGTAAGAAGCGTCAAAAAGCAAAAGAATGTCCTCGGAGAGGCTCGAACTCTCGACCTTTGGATATCTCCACCTGTGACAGAGTCATATTGAATAATATGAGACCAACGCTCTACCGACTGAGCCACGAAGACTGGGTTGAGGAACAACGCCAAGTTTGTGGACTATGTTTCTTACAGCGCATGCTGACCAATCAGAAGTCTCGTTCGCCCGGGCGCCCCACCCCGTCCACTCGGCCCCCTCCGCGGTTCCATCCCGCACCTTGAATCCTCCCGACCGCCTTCCACATGGAACCTCACTGACAACACCCTCGATCCTCACTTACAACACCAAGGGCCCTTAATCTCAGCACCACCGCATCCTCTTTATCACTTTGTCTGCAAGGCCCACGACGACACTTACGCGTTTGACAGGACCCCCGACCCCCATCACCCAAAACTATATGCTGCTCTTCATCATCAACAACGTCTGCCACCACCACCGCCATCACCCCTCCTCGTCCACGAACCCTTCCCTTCTCCCTTTGTTTCCCGCACCTTACCTTACTCCAGCCCCTCGAGCTAGAACCCCAGAGGGCCGCCTACGCACTTACCACATGAAACAAACCTTGCACGCAGCACCCACCAGCAACATGGGATGATATCTCGCGCGCCTGCTCCAAGCCTAATGAACCCCTGTCCCGCAGCCCCTCATCCAGTCTCCTTCTCTGCTCCGTCCCGTGTGCGCCTCCACGAGTGTCGCCCCCGCGCCCAGGCCTCCGTACGCAAAATGCGCCTCGTTGATTATGAGCAATGAGCACGGGAGGGCATTGTCTTTTCCCGGACACACGCCCCATTGGACGAAATTCAAAAACGAATCACCCACCAGAGTATTTCCCGGTTTTCTTCGTAAGGCCAGACCCAGCAACGCCCAGAACCCAGACCTTAGACCCCTCGCCGCCGCACACCATCTTTCCCACAGATTTCGCTTCGACGCCCTCTTGACTCCGACCCAGGCCTCTCGTCCCTCCCCTCCGCAGGCCACATCCATGATGACGCTCCAAGACTGTCCAAACTCCCTCCCATAGCACCGCCCGTAGTCCGTAGACCAAAACGTATATCATCACCCTCAAGCCTCACCTCGCCTCTTCCCCCTCTGCCCTCCTCTCCTCTCTCCACACCCATCATCCACCTCATGATACCTTCAAAATGCCTTCCTACCAAGAAGACGACCTCCGATCAATAGGCCCGGCGCCCTCCTACACCTCCCGCACATCCACCCTCCGCCGCCGCCTCAAGAACCCCTTCCACCGCTCCTCCTCCTACCCAAAACCCCCCGGCCGCGGCGTCTCCCACCACGTCCACCGCGTCACCACAACCCTCGGCCACCCCATCAACCGCGCCGCCCACCTCCTCGGCGCCGAGGGCTTCATGCCCTCCACCATGCCCAACGAGTGCGCCAAAGCCGCCCGCATCCTGCACGCCTTCACCGACGACCCCTCCCCGCCCCCGTCCGCCCGCGGCGGCCAGCCCCTCCACCCCCTCGGCCTCTCTACAAAGTCCCTCGTCTCCATCCCCCCCAAGATCCTCGCCTCCTGCGCCGGCCTCGCCATCTTCAACACCCTCCGCGCCGGCGCCTACATGGGCTCCCTCTCCGCCGGCTCCGGCCTCGTCGTCGCCCGCCGCCCCGACGGCTCCTGGTCCCCGCCCTCCTCCTTCGTCATCTCCACCCTCGGCGCCGGCTTCATGATCGGCCTCGACATCTACGACTGCGTCCTCGTCCTCTCCACCGCAGCCCAAGTCGCCGCCTTTACCCACCCGCGCGTCTCCCTCGGCGCAGAGTCCTCCGTCGCCATCGGGCCCCTCGGCACCGGCGGCGCCGTCGAGGCCGCCCTCTCCAAGACCTCCCGGCCCATGTTCTCCTACATCAAGTCCCGCGGCTTCTGGGCCGGCGTCCAGGTCGAGGGGACCATCATCCTCGCGCGGCAAGACTGCAACGCCGTCGCGTACCAGGACCGCCGCACCTCGGCCAAGAAGATCCTCGCCTGCCAGGCCGAGTGGCCCGAGGGCTCGCAGCCGCTGTGGCACGCGCTCATGGCCATGGACGGGTACTACTCTGCCGTGATGGACGCGGACATTGCGCGGGAGGTGGCGCTGCTGGGTCCGCCTGGCGACGGGGAGGTGCCGCAGGGGTACGCGAGCCCGCCGCCCGACGTGGAGGACGACACGCCCGCGCCGGCGTACACGCCGTCCGTGGCGTCGGCGTGGCGGTACGGGAGCGAGGAGGGCGTGACGGAGGCGCCGCTGCCGCCGCTACCACAGCTGCCACCGCCGCCACCGCCGCCTCCGCCGGTGCCGGTGCCAGTGTACGACAAAGACAGGTTGCGAAGGCTGGTGCAGTGATGAACAAAAAGTCTAATCCGTGAATATCTTCATTCTGGGCAAAAAGGAGTTCGTTTCATTCGGGACGGGGTGTTAGACTGTACCTTTCCATAGCGGCAATACCAAATTCCATCAAATTCGCAATTTCAAGATTCCCATCTTCCGCATGAGCGGGGGAAACCCAAACATTCGCCTTCGTCCCCCAGGGCCCATCCCTGAGCCGAAACAGCCGCAGCTCACCCTCTCGGTAAGCACCCATATCCCCAAATCATGCGTTTTGCCGTGGGGCGAAGTTAGAGTTCGTCTCTTTCCGCGTGGCCAACGTTGCCGAGACCGGGGATTGTGCAAGCTCTGGATGCGGGTCCAGGGTCAATTCTGCCCGGTCTAGACCCGTGGTGAGTTTTTGGGGTTGAGGGGTATTAGTAAGTGATGGTTTGGGGGGCGGTTCGGAAGTATGCAAGCGTTTTGGTGAAGGTGGTTTGGCTGGTAGTTGAATGGCCGGTTGTGGTTGGCATTATTCGTTCTTATTATAGACCTGCTTGGTGATTGGACGGAGTTGTTGCTCTGCAAGCAAAGACAGTGACAGCTTGTCCGCGTCCCTTTTCGTCCTCGGTGACCGGACTGCTGCTTGTCATCTCCTTGGCCACCGACGGACTCTAGCTGCTGTGGCCATCCTTCTCTGTACTGGAAGGCAGAGAGCCCTTCCGACATGTCTATGAGAGTGAATAGTCGTGGCCTTGGGAGGTTCGTGCTGAAAGCAGGAAAGTGGGCCGGGAGGCTTGTGTTTGTATCTGTCCCTGTCATCTCGTGAGTGCATCTACACCAGAGTTCGAAGGACGGTATAGTTTTCATTGGGTTTCCCATGAGCATTGTAAGGGACTGGTGTAAGCTTGAAACGGCTCAGATTCCTGCTTAGTTCGCAGGACTCTCGGTTCCCTCTCAGTCCTTCCAAAGCTGGTTGCTTTTATACCCTTTCAAAAGGTCACGCCTGCATCACTGTCATGCACGATGCGGGCTGTCATCAGACTTGCTTGCTATTATCTCTATCGTAGCTGTCTGTCTCCGCCGTCGTCCGGCTTCGTCCGCCCTCGTCCTCGTCCGTCTCTATCTATGCCAGTCATACACGTGAAACTCTTACAAGTACAAGCCCTCGGGCTCGCTCTCCTGCTTAGTGCGCAGGACTCTCTCCCTGGCAGACCGGAAGTCCGCCATCTGCACACGCATACGGCGCTCGCGCAGGGCGAGCAGACCGGCCTCGGAGCAAATGGCCTTGATGTCGGCACCGGAGAGATCGTCCTTCTGCGAGATAAACTCCTCGAGGTCGACGTCATCGTTGAGCGACATCTTGGAGGTGTGCAGCGTGAAAATCTTGCGCTTGGTGTTCTGGTCGGGGTTCTCGAAGAGAATCTTTCGGTCGATACGTCCGGGACGGATCAGGGCAGGGTCGAGCGTCTCGATCTTGTTGGTAGCCATGATGACCTTGACGTCACCACGGTCGTCGAAACCGTCGAGCTGGTTCAGAAGCTCCAGCATGGTTCTCTGGACTTCACGCTCACCTCCGGATGTCGAGTCGTAACGCTTCGTGCCAATAGCATCGATCTCGTCAATGAAGACGATGGAGGGGGCGTTCTCGCCGGCAACCTAGTGATGTTAGTAATATGACAGTAGCAGAGAGTGATTGTGCATACCTGGAAGAGTTGGCGAACGAGACGGGGACCGTCACCGAGATACTTCTGGATAAGCTCACTTCCGACTATACGCAGGAAGGTGGCCGAAGTCTGGTTGGCAACTGCCTTGGCGAGCAGCGTCTTTCCGGTACCGGGAGCACCGTAGAGAATGACACCCTTGGGCGGCTTGATACCCATCTCCTCGTAGAGCTCGGGGTGGAGCAAGGGCAACTCGACCGACTCTCTGACTTCCTGGATCTGTGTCTCCAGACCACCAATGTCGGCGTATGACTCTGTGGGTGCCTTGTCCAGCTTCATGACACTGACGAGAGGGTCGGCGTCGTCGGTCAAGACACCAACGATGCTGACGCTCTTATGGTGAAGCAGCACACTGGCACCAGGCTCGAGCAGATCCTTGTCGACGAAGCTCATGATGCTAACATAGTACTCGGGACCAGTAGTACTGCTCACGATGGCGTGATCGTCATCAATCATCTCCTCGAGCGTGCCGACACCCATTGGGCTACCACGCATGTCATCGACCCGACCACGCTCATCGGCGAGACGGTCGACATCGCCTTCGGGGCCGACGGCAGCTCCTTCCTTAGCAGCCTTGGCCTTGCGGAGGCGCTCCTGGTTCTCGACGTACTCCTCCTCGAGGATGAGATGGTCGTGGATTCGTTGCATTCGCAGCAAGCGGAGCTTGCATCTGCTCGTAGGGAAGACGGCCGGGAGCTTGGCTGCAGCGCTGGTGCCGGCAGCCTTTCTCTTCTTGCGGCCGACTCTGGTGGTAGGGCGTGGGGGAGGCTCGTACTTGGGCTTCTCCTTCTGTAGAGATGTCAGTTAGATATGGATGCTTTAAGAGGGTTGTTTGAGATCAGTTCGATGGGTTAGCTGCGTCTGCGTACCTTCTTGTCCTTGTCGTCCTTGCCGTCGCCTCCCCCGCCCATTCCACTCTGGTTCTGTCCCATGGCGTCTCTCTAGCCGTCGTCCGTCGTCTCTGTAGCTGGTTTGTGTGTGTCGTGTGTGAATAAACGCAAAAATTGGACGGCGTGGTGGTGGTGGTGGGAGCTTGTGATGATGATGAAGTTGGGTGGACGCGAGCGACCAGGCCAGGGTAGAGGTCGACGAGGTGCGAGGCTGCTACTGCTTGCGTCTTGCGTAGGTAAGCACGTTGGTGGCCGTACCTGCCTCGTACCTTCCTTGAGCACAGACCCTCTACGGCAGGCGCCAGAGGAACGCGCAGCTTCCCTCCCTCGGGCTATTCCTCTTCCGGAAAGAACGCTCCAAAGTCACGTGCTCCGTCATACTGATTAGTCATCTCCAAGGTAAGAGGCAGGTGCGACCCGATGCTCCGTCCCTCGGCGCCGGCTTCTCCACTTTATGGCGGCCGGCACCTAGAACGCGGAAGCTGAAAGAGGCTTACTCTACTGCGTAGACCTGCCCATTTATCGCAATTCTTACACCCTGTGGTGGTTATTCAACAGATCTATAAGCTGCTGACTGTTGTGACTCGTCCTCATCATTCTTTCTGTCCCCATTGTCCTTGCTCTTGTCGTCCATCATCGTCGTCCGTCGTCGTCTTCGTCGCTGTCCTTGTCGCTCTTGTTGTCCTTACTCTTGTCGTCCGTCATCGTCTGTTATGATCTCCTCTATATTTACTTCCTCCTGCTACCTGCCCTTCCCTTTATCTACCTCACTATCTACTTACTTCGCTACCTACCTACTTCTCCTTTTGCTTACCTCTTCCTTGCCTACCTCAATCTTATCTCCTCTCTGATATCTACGCAGAATCGTGACGGTACGCTATTTACTCCAAAAAGCCTATGCACGCCTTGTACATCACCTGCAACAACCCATCTGACGCTGTTATCCGCCATCCAAGCCGGCCTGCCCGGTTCTGAACCTTTCGGTAACTCCGAGCTTGCCATCGAGGTTCAGCATTCTTGCATCTGGCAACTAATCCAGCGAATCGTTTTGCGCCTCAACTCCCGGAGCCTCGTCACTGGAGCGTCGATGAGCTCGCGTGACGTCGAAGGGGTGGACAAATGAAGCATTTCCTTTCCCTCAAGGTAACGGAAGAAAGATCCACAAGAGTCACGCGGTAAACAAGGCTTCGTGAGCTGACCGTAATACTTTCAAATCTCGAATGATATCCAGCACCCCTTTAGCCAGAACTTCAAATTAGTTGAGAATAAAAGACCGCCTGTGTATCACACCTTACTTCTTCTCACTTTTCACATTGCACTGGTCCTCGTTATTCACAACACCATGTCTCGTCAAGGCTATCGAACCGCACAATGGGAGGGCCAACCCCCTCCGATTAAGCAGCGCCCGTGGTGGAACGTCCGGCATCCAACTGCAGAGAAGTCCCCCCACAGTCATGACAAAGACACCCCCTTCCAGTGGATGATTTCCTCCAACCATGTGGTCCCAGGCTTCGATCACCCATCCAAGCAGGAGAACTCGCCGTGGTGTCTGCTTCTCAGATTCATGCTGATGGACCTTCCACATCAGATTATGCATGATATAAGCCTTCAGTCGTGGGCCGAGCATCCCGCCCCGCAAAACAAAGCAGCCCTCCAACGCCCTACTGATATTGCTCCCTATGGCAAGCGACATCAGAGATGGGGCCGCCGGTTTCTATTTTCACCACCGGCCTCCTGCCAATCTCACGAAAGCGACGGGAAATGGCTAGTTGTTGCTTATCTCTGGAGGGAGAGCAAGGAGTGGCTAGAAACCGTGGATATAGGGGAACTCATAGCGTCTTTGCATTGTATTAGGTAAGAAACGGCAAGTTCTAACAGTAAAAACGGTTGACTGACATTTCCAGCCAAAAGTTTCATGAAGGTTGCTTGACTCCCACTCAGGTACCAAACATTGTCAGGATTGGTACAAGATGTACGAACTTCGGCGCATATCGGCCGGACATTCAATCACGTTAGTTGATCTCCTACATACAAAACAAAAGTCTTACGCGGCGAAGAGGGAATGGGTCGGCACAGAGCCTAGAATTTTCTCCGATCAACTCAGAACGTACATTAACGCGTTCTGCGACATTCTGGATAGCGGCGGAAGGCAAAAGCCTAGTTCAACCGCCCAAAAGCTATCTGAAAGAGAAGCTGAAGTGCATGCTGGGGCTGTGTTTCAAGGTCAAATCCCTTCTAAAAGGGAAGCAGTGGGACATGTCGAAGCTGTCGGTCCCGTTTAAACACGGTCTTAGAGGAGCGTCGAGGGAGATGTTCCAAATTTCACGTTTGCGATTGGGGTCACTCTGAGATATTAGCCAGTCATGTACAACGATGAACTCTTGTGGTGGCTTCGCAAGGCTGATGTTGGTGGGATTTATCAAGGCTTCGATTATGCTACGAGGTATGTAGTACGCGTAAAAGCGCTTCTTGAAGGGCTGGCAAAGGAATCGCAAGACCATTAGCAAAGTCTCGTAGATCCAATGAATAATCTTAAAAAAATGTTTGCTACTTTCTTACAGATTCGTGCCTTATGCTACGATTGCTGGGCGAATCCGGTTCTACAGCCCCTTCATACGTTACCACTCCATTCTCGTTGATATTGGGTCATGCCTCTGAAAACTATTACATCTACTCGCTGAAGTTCTCTTTAAGTTGCAAGAAGAAGTCTCGTATTATCAAAGCTGATAGATTGAAGTAATAAATCCACAAGGTTGTCGGCTACATTACTGTACAGGTTCCACCTCTAGCCTTAGGCTGGCTTTCAAGCTTCTCTACCACGACGGCCTCGTCTTCAAAAAACTCTTTCATGTACTCATCCTCAGAAGACTCATTGACAGGAGCCTCGTCAGCTATCACATATGACGAGTCTCTCGCACACGGACACGAACCCGGCCGCTGTCGCTTCTCATTAAGAACCTGGGATTCCTTACCCCTCAACTGGGTGAGGTTTTGGTGCATTGATGCAAGGTTTCCCGTCAATGTCCCCGTCACAAAGGCCCCGTAATCTTCGTCATCAACTGGCTCATCGACCACCTCACACGACTTGCCATCTTTAGATACCTTCTTTTGGTAGACCAGGTCCCAGTGATAAAGGATGAGGCTGTCTGGGCCCTTTTCTTCGACCCGGTGGTGAACATCGTGCCTGGGGTTAAGGTCAGTTGAGTTCCCTACGTGTCGGATTAGAGATGCGGACGGGAGTGGCTTACCGTATGATTGGGGAGAAGGCTGCCAGGCGTCTGATGTCAACGCTATCTACCCAGTCTCGGCTCTCTCCCCATACGTGGGCAGCTATAAGCCAATTGCCAACGCATTCCAGGCTGCCAACGCAAGCCAGGTCATAAGAGTAATGGGGTGCTACGTCTGTGAACACATATCGGCGGCCCCATTTCTGGTCAGGCTCGTCCGTGGGACTATTCAGAGGCTGTCGTACTAAGGAGTCTGGCACTGCATGCTCCTCTTCGTCCCACGATTTGAAAGTGCCGTCGGCCTTTTGCTGATGCGGGTCAACCAACATGGATATGATTAAGAGACGCCAAGGTGAGGCCAGTAGTCGGTTCTGGTAGCCCGGAGCGACGTGGTAAGACGAGACTTTCCATTCGAAAGGGCTCTCTGTTTGCTCTTTGATGTAGGCATCTAGGATGCCCCAGTTTGTACGATGATTTGAGGGAGGAGGACTGCGGCCTTCACCCTTCACGGTATGAGTTGCTGACCGAGACATGTTGGCGATGATGATGCTAGAGGATAATGTTGAATGAACTTGAGGGGTGTCGAAAGTGACCCATCACGGCTGCTTAAATATTGAATAACAAGCCACCCGGGTCATGGGGCTCAAACTTCGCAGCAGACCACAATGGTGGGTTTGAATTTTCGGCCCATACACGGTCTCCGACAGCCTCAACCGTCAATATTTGGCCACACAACCCTGGGGCAATCGGCAATTGGACCAAAGTTAGAATTAAGGAAAGCCATAAATGCAGGAAGCTCATTAAGGAAATAGTGAAGCATCTTGACCATAAAACAAGAACAGGTGAAGGGGCATTATCCGGGCCGACCTCAATTCTGTACATGTCCAACGCGAGATTCAAACTCTAGCAGCAGACACATAGACGGGTATCCTTCAATATCCACGACATCACAGCTGGATCAAAGAAAGAAATTCTGTCAATGGAAAGTTCGAATGATTGGGGCCGTGGGGACGTTGGGGACGTTGTACATTGAGGAAATACCCATCTTACCACTCGAAATTTGGTCTTGCCACTTGCTGTGGTAGTACTTCAAGGTTCCTAAATCAGTTACTTGGCATAGATATCTCAGAGAAATTTTAGCTCTTTTTCTCAGTTCATTCCTGTTGTGTTTGTTATCTGTCATTTCCCTTGTCCCTTTGTCCCTGTGGTCTTTATTGTTACTACTTTTGTCTACCTTATCATATGGATCATTTGGCATTCTTCATCTAACAGGACAAGGCAGAAAAGTCCTCTCATTTGACATGTCAATCTTCACTGATTCGTTAAATATAGCAGCCCAATCACCATCAGTCATCAGTACTCAGCTCTGTGCAGTACATAAGTTAGGTAATAATTGGCTGCAATAAGACGTTCAAACATGACAGCACCAGTGACATATGCTCCAGAACCCCTCCGAACCCCACAGACCCGTTCCAGGTTCCCCTCCAGCGGGTGCAAGGGCGCTAATGTTAGTGCCGGTTCGCACGGACCATTCCAGCATCATCTTTCTGAGGGGCACGTCCGCCTTCCATCTTTCCACCCTCCCGCTTTGCAGAACGACCAGACCCAAACACTTCAGTGCGCCTCACTTGACCTCACCACCTTTCAACTGCGTATCCCCACGAAGAATCTTCAAGGGAAGACACCTAGCACGACGACAGGTGTGAGAGACAGCATCAACAATAGCAACAGCAGTTCAAATATACCATTCCATCATCAGACAACCAAGCCACCCACCATGTCGAGCCCAAAGGAGAGGCGAATCCTCAAGGAGCTGAACGACATCAGGAGCGATCAGGACAACTCTGGCGTCTTCGCCCAGCCGATTCAGGAGAACAACCTGTTGCACCTGAAGGGCACCTTCCCCGCGCCCCCCGACACCCCCTACGCCGGCGGCCAGTACACAGTCGACATCAAGATCCCAGACAGCTACCCATTCAAGTCACCCATCATCAAGTTCGACACCAAGATCTGGCACCCCAACGTCAGCTCCCAGACCGTGGGTCTTCCCTCCCCTCCCCTTCGTGCCATCAGCTAACAAAATCCTCCACCAGGGCGCCATCTGCCTCGACACCCTCGGCTCCGGCTGGTCCCCCGTCCAGACGATCAAGACAGCCCTCCTCTCCCTCCGCATGCTCCTCGAGTTCCCGAACCCCAAAGATCCGCAAGACGCCGAGGTCGCCAAGATGATGCTCGAGAACCCCGAGGCCTTCGCGAAGAAGGCGCACGAGTGGGCCGTCCTGCACGCAGGCGCGCCCTCGAAGGACTTTGACACGACAAAGTACCGCCAGGAGGCGGCCATAACCAAGGGCGATGACTCCCAAAGGTGGGTTTGCTTGATGTTTGAACAGAGGGGAATATCCGACTGATGGTGGAAAACACAGTTACATGGGCTACAACAAGGACCTCGTGGACCGCTTCGTAAACATGGGCTTCGAAGTCGACGCCGTCGTCGAGGCCTTCGTCTTCGTGGGTATCGATCGCAACGGCGGGGAGGACTACGAGCTGGAGGAGGCGTATATGGGCGATATCACGGCTCGGCTCCTCGGCGAGCAATGATCCCCGTGGTCCGAAAACAGCGACATCACTTTACAACGGTACAGAAGGGGATGCATCACCATGAAAGAGAATGGACCATGAGGGAGAGAGAGGGAATCGCATCGAATAGGGAGTCACGTTAAACATTATAGAATCAGGGCGGGTCGGGCATCGAACATGGCTGGTGAGCGGACGGGGAAGGGGCCGGATCTTGCTTTTTTTCACGCACAAGAGGGGAGAGGACTGTGCCGCAACGCATGGACTCGGCATACATATTCTTTTTTTACGAGGCTGCCGGACTTTGTGTCTTCCCAAACCTCATGGCGGCACGACAAACACGCAGCTTCCGTGGCATGCGTTTCGAAGGGCGGCCCCGGGGGTTAGGCGGGAATTAGGCCAACGGCCGGAGCACTCTCCCTCCATCAGACATTGGCTAAAAGTCATCAGAGACTTTTGTTTCTTACCTGCATCACGGACATGGCGTTTAAGGACGAGGGAGTTTACAATTGGAACCGCATGGGGACACTCTTACAGTCGGCTTTTAGTTTCTCGCTTCGCGAAATTTCAAGCTTCAATAGTAGAGCACTCCCATTTCATCGTGTAAAATGCATCAAGCCAATGCATGGAATGTAGCATCCAGCGCTTCCAAGCTGCAGGCCACTTTCCCCGATTACGGATCCCTCACAATGTGAAAGGTCAGGCAAGGCTGTCTGAGGTGTCTGCCAAATGCCTGCATCCATTGATCCGGCGTCTGCTCGCCCCATATTTCTACCTGCGTCGGGCCGGCCCAGGCGTGATTGTTTCCCCTCGGGGTTCGGAGACGGACGACCCCTGGCACTCCCCTCCACCCCCGGTATGGGGAGTCGTACGACGGGACGAATTAGATGCGGGAGGGGTACGGTTTTGTGTAGCAGTCGGCAAGTACGCCATAGCAGCATAATATATAAGGCACTTCCGCGATACACGGCGCACGCGAGGAACAAAAACTGGGGCATTTCCTCTAATTCTTTCTTGAATTTCCCTCCCTGCCCAGCGTTGCCGAATTCCAGTCTATCGAGTTTCATGGTGGGGGAAGCGGCGCGGCGGCAAACATCTCGACGACGTTACACACATACGACACACGATGCAGGAAAATCGCCTCGTTTCCTCCACGCCCAGATGAGCGCGCCTTGGGCACCGCGTCGGCGGACTGCTACCACGCTTCAAACAGGTCTCTTTAACATGTTACGTACACAGGTTCACTTAGTATTTTCCTCCTCTTCTTTACGGTTTCGTCCCACGCAGGAGGTGATGGTTTCATCGAGAGTTCTGAACGTCGAGCGCGCGCGATTTACAGGAGGTCGCGGCGGACGAACTCGTCGTACAGGGCCTTGCCGAGGCCGGCGGGGGAGGGCTCGACGATGACGCCGGCGGACTTGAGGGCGGAGATCTTGGAGTCGGCACCGCCCTTGCCGCCGGAGACGATGGCACCGGCGTGACCCATGCGGCGGCCGGGGGGCGCGGAGATACCGGCGATGAAGGAGACGACGGGCTTGCCGCCGTTGACGGTGTTGTTGGCGCGCAGGAAGTCGGCGGCGTCCTCCTCGGCGGAACCACCGATCTCGCCGATCATGATAATGCCGTCCGTCTCCTCGTCCTTGAGGAAGACGTTGAGGCAGTCGATGAAGTTGGTGCCGGAGAAGGGGTCACCGCCGATGCCGACGACGAGGGACTGGCCGAGGCCGGCCTGGGTGGTCTGGTTGACGGCCTCGTAGGTCAGGGTGCCGGAGCGGGAGACGATACCGATGCGGCCGCGCTTGTGGATGAAGCCGGGCATGATGCCGATCTTGCACTGGCCGGGGGCGATGATGCCGGGGCAGTTAGGGCCGACGAGGCGGGTCTTGGATTGCGTCTTGAGCATGTTGGTGATGCGGACCATGTCTGGCGAGGTAAGTGTAAGCTTATCGGAGCTTGCAAGTGGGGAAGCTTCGGTGTGGGATGTGAGGTGAGTATGTCGACGTACCATGCTGGGGGATACCCTCAGTAATGCAGACGACGAGGGGGATCTCGGCGGCGATGGCCTCCTCGATACCGGCGGCGGCCAGAGGGGGGCTGTGTGCTGGGGTGTCAACTCGGGTCTCTTGATATGTTCAAGCAAGCTTCTTTCGCGACGTGATGACGTACGGGACGAAGATGGCAGTGGCAGTAGCGCCAGTCTCCTTGACGGCCTCGCTGACGTTGCCGAAGACGGGGAGACCGAGGTGCTCCTGGCCGGCCTTCTTGGGGTTCGTTCCACCGACGACCTTGGTGCCTACACGGGTGGGGGAGAAAAGATATCAGCCTCGGAGATTGTCTTTATAGACGCGCGGGATGCGCAATTGCGGTTCGGAAATAGCATCGCGTACCGTAGTCGATGGCCTGCTGCGCGTGGAAGCTATCGCGAGGGAGATACGTGTTAGCCAGCTTGCACACACCATTTCTGCTGCGTTCTGATATCGCCAGCTGGCCGAGCTAGGGGCGGCGGGCGTCGGACAAAGATAACACCACTTACGTTCCCTGCTTGCCGGTGAAGCCCTGGAAGAGGACCTTGGTCTCGCCGTTGATGCGCAGGTTGTCGATGGTCTTGGTGTAAGGGCCGGTGGCGGCGCTGTAGGACCGTCTGGCGGCCTGGTTCAGCAGCTTGCCTGCCGGGCGCATCTGTCTCGAGAAGGACTGCATGCTGGGCGTCTGTGTGGTTGCGTGTGGGAAGTGCGTTGAAAGGAGAAGGAAAGGATGCGCAACACAAAACGGTGTGGCGCAATTAAAGAGACCGAGTCGGTGGGGGGGCGGTGGGAGGACGGAGGATGGAGGGGAGAGTGGCCGAGGAGAGCGAGATGCTGCAAAGTTGGAGTATCTCGGTAAGGTAGGTATCGTAAAAAGAGACAGGACAGGAGGAGCTGCAGCAATTCACGTCACTTTCCGAAAAGAAGGGTCGAACTGGCACCAAGCAAAACTTGAACCGAGCTCTTTCGAGACAATCGGGTCTGCAGCGCGAGCCACGGGGCCTGCAGCCCGGGAAAACCCGCACCAGTCGGTCGCAATAGATAATCCGGCCGGGCCAATTACCGGCTGCAGATTGGGGCACGGTCAGCACCCCACTGCTGTCTGACGTGTGGCGGTGCGTTTTCTCTCAAGGTGTGGCTGATTACCCCACCATCCCACGCCAGCGACCTGCATTTGACGGTCCCTCCAAAATTTCCCAAAAGTGAGGGACAGCGACTAGTGGTGACTCCAGCTCTTTGACCTTGCGGAGATTGATATTGCAAACAACAAAACCCACGACGAGCCAGACGAAACGAAACCCCAGAGCACTGAACATCGAAACAAAGCATCCGCCATATCACCTACATCACCTTCCACCATGGCGACCGCGACCGTCACCGTCACCAAGACGCGGACCTCCAACGTCAACCTGCCCCCCGAGAACGAGCGCTTCCTGCGATGCTGCGCAGACATCGCCAACGCCCTGATCGAGGACCATGAGGCCGTTCGCGACCCCAAGAAGCCCCAGAGGGATCTGAACCTCAACTCCCTGCGCAACAAGTTTGCGCGCAAGCACAAGCTCGCCAACATCCCGCCCTTGACAGCCATCATCGCCGCCATTCCCGAGCACTACAAGAAGTACATTCTACCGAAGCTCATTGCGAAGCCAATCCGTGGGTCTCTCTTACTCCACATGACACGAGTTTGACTGACATATCCCAGGCACATCATCTGGTATCGCAGTCGTCGCCGTCATGTGCAAGCCACACAGGTGTCCGCATATCGCCTACACCGGCAACATCTGCGTCTACTGCCCAGGCGGCCCCGACTCCGACTTTGAGTACAGCACACAGTCCTACACCGGATACGAGCCGACATCGATGCGCGCCATCCGAGCACGATACGACCCTTTCGAGCAGGCCCGCGGCCGCGTCGACCAGCTCAAGTCCCTCGGCCACTCCGTCGACAAGGTCGAGTACATCATCATGGGCGGCACCTTCATGTCCCTGCCGGTCTCTTACAGAGAAGACTTCATCGCACAGCTGCACAACGCTCTGAGCGGCTACCAGACGTCGAACGTGGACGAGGCAGTGGAGGCCAGCGACATGAGCAACATCAAGTGCGTCGGCATCACGATCGAGACGAGACCAGACTACTGCTGGCAGCCCCACTTGACCGACATGCTGCGGTACGGATGCACGAGACTGGAGATTGGAGTGCAGTCGCTTTACGAGGACGTTGCGAGAGACACAAATCGCGGTCACACGGTCGCTGCCGTCGCCGAGACATTCTGCCTCGCCAAGGATGCCGGGTTCAAGGTCGTCAGCCACATGATGCCCGACCTGCCGAACGTGGGCATGGAGAGAGACCTAGACCAGTTCAGAGAGTACTTTGAGAGCCCCGCTTTCAGAACAGACGGCCTCAAGATTTACCCGACGCTTGTTATCAGAGGCACAGGTCTTTACGAGCTGTGGCGCACAGGACGTTACCAGAACTACACACCAAACGGGCTCATCGATCTAGTCGCGAGGATATTGGCACTGATCCCACCATGGACGCGTATCTACCGTGTCCAGCGAGACATTCCCATGCCCCTGGTCACCTCCGGCGTTGAGAACGGCAACCTGCGCGAGTTGGCGCTGGCGAGGATGAAGGACTTTGGCACCACATGTCGAGACGTGAGGACACGCGAGGTCGGCGTGAACGAGGTGAAGAACAAGATCCGGCCGAATCAGATTGAGCTGGTGCGACGAGACTACACGGCCAACGGCGGTTGGGAGACGTTCCTCGCCTACGAGGACCCGAAGCAGGACATCCTTGTAGCCCTTTTGCGTCTGCGCAAGTGTACCGAGAAGTACACCTACCGCGAGGAACTCGTCGGCCAGCCGACCAGTCTCGTGAGAGAGCTGCACGTATACGGCACGGCGGTGCCGGTGCACGCGCGTGACCCGAAGAAGTTCCAGCACCAGGGATTCGGCACCCTCCTCATGGAGGAGGCGGAGAGGATAGCGAGGGATGAGCATGGCAGTGAGAAGATTAGTGTCATTTCTGGTGTTGGTGTGAGGAGCTACTACGCCAAACTCGGGTATTGGCTTGATGGGCCGTATATGAGCAAGTGGCTCGACGGCCGACCTGGACCGGACCAGGCTTGAGCGGAGGGTTGATGATTCAAGACCGAATTTTGGCGGGTATCGGAGGCTGATATAGACGGAGGACGTCGGCCAGCACTGAGAGAGCGGCGAATGAATATGGCAGCCATGTGCAGCAGACTCGTTCATCGCCACGCGGTCTCCGCCGCGGTGTGCTTAGGGAGGAATTGGTCAACGCTGGCTTCCCTCAATCCGCAGCCTGCGCCTTGGGGAGCGTTGCGTACTCCTCCAGCTTCTTCTCAAAGTCGGCCAGGGCTAGCAAGACCTCAGGCACCGCCTCATCAAGCGCGCGCGTCTCTGTGTCTGTCATGGGACGAAGCACATAGCTAGAAACCTCCTCCCGGTCGCGCCCCTCGGGCCGGCCAATGCCAACCGATATCCTCGCCCACCTTGCGCCCTCGTAGTCTGACTTTTTCAGGTTCCTGTTGATGCTCTTGACGCCGTTATGACCCCTGTGGCTGCTCAACCACTTGCGCAGCCGGACGTCGCCCAGGCCCAGCTCGAGGTCGTCGTGGACGACGACGAGATGCAGCAGGTCGACACGGCCCCCCATGCGGCGCAGCTCGCGCTCGAAGGCGCGCTTGACGAAGCCGCCTGACACGTTCATCTGCGTGGGCGATTGCAGGAGGGAGTAGCGCTCGCCGATGGAGGCCTGGCAGCCCTTGCCGGCGCTGAAGTCGGTTGTCCTGGAGAAGACGGGCTGGGCGGGGAGGTAGGTCTGCAGGTGCTTGAGGATGCGGTGGCCGGCGGAGTGGAGGGTGTCGGTGTAGGGGCGCGGGTTGCCGAGGGAGATGAGGAGGATGCGGGCGGCGGCTTGTTTCGGGGCCGCCATCGTGTGCGTCGGCTGCGGTGGTGGTGCTTGGTTGTTGTTCGGGTTCGGGTTCGGGGGTCTTGGAGATTTTTGGGTAACGGTTGGAGCTTGAAGAATTGGAGGTTGCGATTGGAGGTGGGGCCCGGATTGCATAAGGCTGCATAAGGCGGGTGTGTATGTTGTGCACAAGGTTTTTGGTTTCTGGATAAGTTATGTAAGCGAGGGATAGCTCAGTTGCTGGTGACAACTCCTGCACTTTGAAAAGGAAGCTGACACCGTCACCAGGAGCTACTGATAGCACAAAGGAGAAGGTGAAACGGTCCTAGATAGATGCCCGGGCAACCAAGAGTCTGAAATCTTGAAGAAGAAATAGTTTGAATGAGCAATGGACAAAGGGGATTTGCTTTCACAGGTGCTGCATGAGACTATAGGATAAGGGACTGTGGGATGAGAAGAAAGCATCTTCCCACGTGCAACTCTCACTTACAGTGAATTGAAGAGAGAACAGTCAAAACAATCTGAAGTTGGTGACACTTTCAACTGAAGCTGGCTCCTTCATTTGCTGATCTTTGAAGTGATTCACATTCAGCCCTGTTAAGCATAAAAGCAGCCCAACCAGAGTGGACCCGGCAAAGCGGCACTTGCGGCCAGCGCTGCGCCACAGCTCACCCGGCGCTAGGCACACCACAGCACCTGTTGGAGGGGCCAAGGCCGCTAAGGACGTGGCGCAGTCTGAGCCTCTGTCGCTGACGTCGGTTTTCCCGCTTGTTGCTGCCCACTGTTGCACTGCACTGCACTGCACTGTCTTCCATTGTTGTTGGGTTTCCCCAGCCTGGGTTTGAGTGATTCGTCCGCGCAATCAAAACCACCAAAGCCGCCCTTTCCCTTGACCTACAACAAACCTTCAGACGACGAAACAAACTCCCACCCTCCAAGGACGCACACACCTACCTCGAAACAGAGATACCCGACGACGACACGCGAGAATTAATACCTCAGCACAACGAGCACGACTCCCCGATTGGCATTTTGTGTTTTTTAAGTGGATTTGCCTGAGTGAGAGGAAACCGGCAAGATGTCGTGGGCAGGTACGCATTACGCCACTCGCGAAACCGAACGAAACCAAACCCCCTCCCGCGCAGAGGGACCGCGAAACACACATTGGGCAGGAACGAAGGCTGACGGGCTGCAGGATTCAAGAAGAATGTCAACCGCGCGACGACGCAGGTGATGATGAAGACGGGTTCGTCATCCAACGGCATTTCCCCCCGACGATCGGTTCTGACGCTTGGCAGGGCATGTGGAGAAGACGAACGACCGAGACTACGAGGTTGAGGAAAGGTGAGCACGGCACACACGCGACACGCCCGACCGAGAGCGAATTGCTGATTGGGCATTCCCTTTTGAATAGACGATTCAGAACCATGGAGGCCGCATCGTTACGGCTGCAGAAGGAGGCGAAGGGATACCTTGATTCGTTGCGAGGTGAGTTGCGTGTCGCCAAGACAGACGGTGGACAGGTTGGGCTGACGGATTGAAGCCATGACGGCGTCCCAGATGCGCATCGCCGAGACGATAGATGCGTTCTACGGCGACTCGGGCGCCAAGGACGGCGTGAGCAGGAGTTACAAGCAGGCCGTGGAGGATCTCGACGCCGAGACGATCAAGGCGCTCGACGGACCGTACCAGTACGTCCTTGCGGCCCCCCGCCCGGAAGTACGGCGACTGACGAAACCACAGACAAGCCGTCCTCGAACCCATCTCCCGCTTCTGCGCATACTTCCCCGACGTAAACGAGTGTACGTGCTCTCTACCCACCACCACGATGGCTAACATAGTAACACCATAACCCCGCAGGCATTAAGAAGCGCGGCCACAAGCTCCTCGACTACGACGCCCTCCGCGCCAAGGTCAAGAAGCTCGTCGAGAAGCCCGACAAGGACGTGACGAAGCTGCCGCGGGCCGAGAAGGAGATGGAGATGGCCAAGGCGGCGTACGAGCAGCTCAACGAGCAGCTGTCGACGGAGCTGCCACAGCTCATCGACCTGCGCGTGCCGTACCTCGACCCGTCGTTCGAGGCGCTCGTCAAGATCCAGCTGCGCTTCTGCGCGGAGGCGTACAGCCGCATGGCGCAGGTGCAGCAGTACCTCGACGCCGACACGAGAGAGCAGTACGCGCAGGGACACCTGGACCAGCGGGTCGAGCAGGTGTTGCAGGAGATTCGGGAGCTGAGCATCAGCGGCACGGTATAAGTTTGCGGCTAGGCTGCCCTGGGGACGTTTTCATGTGGTAATGGCGGTTCACGGCCGGAAATGGGATTTGGGGGGTTTTCCATTAATAGAGGATGGCCCCTAGACCTGCGTCACGACTGAGGGGGGGTTGTGTCTCCTGCCCCTTTTTCTCTCATGTATGAAAAATGACTTTTCTTAATTATGGGTATCATTGCTTTTTTCCGTTGCTCATTTCATCGAGCCCTACTTTTCGTCTCTATGCCGTTGTCGTAATGCTGGCGTCCATCTGGGTAGTCTGTTTCTCAGACGAGATGCTCATGAACCTGACTTTCATCCTCTACACCACTCCGCGGCGCCCTCCCACCCCTGACTCTTCCTCATCAACTCCACACCTCTAGCCTTCGCATCCCGCACCATGAGCTCCTAGCCCTTGACGCCGTTCTGCGCGCCAAACAGGTCGCTCAGGCTCAGCTTCCTTCCGATTGCCTGCATCGCGGGACCGAGCTCCTCCGCCTGGGGCGGCAGCTGCTGGGCGGCGCCGCTCTCCTGGAAGGCGCGCACCTGCTTCAGCGTCTCGCCGATCATGGCGGCGTTCATGACGCGGGTGTCGTCCTTGTCGGCGTGGATCCAGATGCCCATGACCTTGTTCTCCTCGGCGGCGCCGCGCAGGCGGAAGATGTAGATCTCGTCCATGACCTCGAAGTCGGCGACATCGCCGAGGTCGAGGATGACGTTCTCGAGGCCGCGGCGGTTGAGGACGAAGATGCAGGCGCGCGGGGCCGCAGGTACACCAGGGAGGGGGTCCTGCATGCAGAGGAAGTAGGTGCCCTCGATGCCGGTCTTGTCCCAGCCGGGCAGGGAGGGGTTGAAGGTGTAGACGACGGCGTTCGCGGCGATGGAGAGGGTGGCGTTGATGGAGGGGAGGTAGCGGCGCAGGACCGAGAGGTTGAGGTCGGTGTTTGTGCGGTGGAGGAGGGCCGGGTTCGGGTCCGGGACGGGGTGGGTGTCGAGGTAGTGCGCGGCGTCGGATTCGTAGTCGGACTGGACGGGGCGCGGGCCGTTGGAGGGGTGGCGGTTGTGGCCGCGTTTGCGGGGGGTTTGGCGGGACATGTTGGGTTGTCTGGTGGTGGTGATGGTGTTTGGTGACGGAATCGCGAGGTGTGAAGGCGCGGTTCGTAAGGCTGCGAGTACCTTGGATGAGGTCAGTTCTGAGGTGGGTCCGGCAGCCTTATCGTGTGGCCGGATCATCTTATCGCAGCTCACTCACCCCGCCAATGCCGGCTGTGGCAGTGCATCTCATACTGAGGGGATGTGCTGGACCTCAGCTGGGCCTCCCCCTGTCATTCCAAGTGACCCCCAAAAACACGGGCACTGGCCACTGAGGAAAGGGAGCGAGGGAGGGATGCACGTCACTGATGCCACCCACCGAAAAGTGCCCGACTCGCCCTGCCGCCCGGAGTCACAGACACTGACTGAGTGGACTGTCACTGCTACGTATTGTCACTGCAGAACAAGATCCCTGGGCACATCGTCTCGTGCTTCACCCGTTTCTTCAGTCTGGACCCTTTTGCTCCTCTCCCACATTTCTTTCCCCATATAGTGAAGTGCTCTCGACACCACCACCAACACGACAGCTTCGCAGCCGCCTCGTCCGGTATCCCTACGACCTTTGGGCCAGCTCCCGTCCCGTCCTCCGGTCTCCCTTCCCCCAACGCATAATCCTCACCATCCTGGTCCGTGACCTCACTTACGACGACTCTGCACCGAAAATACGAACATCATGCGCCGGACGACTCCGGCCTGATCGACCACCATCCACTCCCAAGCCACACGAACCCTCCCGAGCCCACCGGCGCAGCCGCTGTCCCCCCCTATATCCGCACCCAAAACCCCTACCTATCGTCTTTCGCCAAGTTCGAAAACTGCTCTGAGTACACACAAAGGCACCGCAAGCCTCGCCCTCCGCGATGGCGCCCTCCGACACCATCCCCTCGACGACCTCCGACCCCGTCGACCTCACCTCGACGCCCCAGTCCCTCGCCCGTGCCGTCTTCGCTCGCCGCGCAGAGTATGTCCGCCCACACCGCATCCGCGTCAAGATCGGCACCTGGAACGTCGCCGCGTGCCCCGGCACCGACAAGGACCTCGCGAGCTGGTTCGTGGACGGCTACGGGCTCGATGCGGCACTGTCACGGCTGAATGTGGGCGATGGCGAGACCGTCGAGACAAACCCGCCCATCCCTCCCACGCCGACGCTGGACACCAAGCTCGCCGCTGAAGATGACAATGATGTGGCTGAGAGCTCTTCGAACCCAAAGTCTCCAACGTCGACAACGTCGAATCCAAAGTCTCCAATCTCGAATTCGAACCCAAAGTCACCAGTGCCGGCTGCGGCTACGGCCACACAGCCGGACGCCGTGCACGTGGTTGGAGGCGACAAGATTGGGCTGTACGTGCTCGGCCTGCAGGAGATTGTCGACCTGAACATGGCGAGGGACTACATGAACCGGATGTACTCCGACCCGGGGCCCATAAACAAGTGGAAGGACGCTTTAGAAGCGGCCATGCCGCCCGGCTACGAGCTGGTGGCGGCAGAGCAAATGTCAGGCTTGTGTCTGCTGGCGTACGCATCTCCGGAGGTCGCCCCGACCATCAGCAACGTGAGCACTGTCTCTGTGGGCACGGGATTGTTTGGATACCTCGGTAACAAGGGTGCAGTCACGACAAGGATGCTGCTGGGCGAGACGACGCGCATGGTCTTTGTCAACTGCCACCTTGCTAGCGGCGCGGAGCAAACGTATCTTGACCGTAGACTTTGGGATGTCGGACAGATTATGTCTCGGACGCAGTTCGATCCCATCAACTTGGCCGGGGAGAACGACGCAGAGCCGGAGAAGATTGGCGACGAGGACTTTGCGTTTTGGCTTGGTGATCTAAACTTCAGGGTAGACGGGCTTCCTGGAAACGATATCCGACGGCTGTTGTTGCTGCATACACGCGGAGAGTACGATTTGGATAAACGGGGCCGCAAAGTCATCGCGGGCGGCGAAGTGCTGGTGGTGAAGAGCTCCAAGAGCGGCAAGGCGGAGGATAGCGACGATGATACGTCCACTATCGAAACGACGCTCTCGTCGGAGCCCAGTGAGCACGACTCGGCGAGCTCGCTGCCGGATCCTGACGAGTTTCTGCCGGACCCGAGCGATGACCCTGCCTCATTGCAGGCGACGCTGGATTCGCTGCTGCCGCATGACCAGCTGCGGCGAATTATTCAGGAGAAGAAGGCCTTCCACGACGGTTGGCGGGAAGGGCCGATTACGTTTTTGCCGTCTTATAAATACGATGTTGGGACTATTAGTCTGTTTGATTCGAGCGAGAAGCAGAGAGCACCAAGCTGGTGTGATCGGATTCTGTACCGGACACGAAAGGATAGGGAGGAATACGAGCAGCAGGTCAAGGATGCCGAGGAGGCGAAGAAGAAAGACGAGGAGATGACGGCACAGGGGCTGGATCATGCGACTGACGATGAGAGTGTCCTGTTCGACTACGACCCAGATGCGGACGGTGAGGAGCCTCCGCCGACTGGCGAAGCTGGTGTCGATTACGATGAGTACGACGAGGATGACAATGAGCCGGAGGAAGGTGTCACGAAAGAAGGCTTCACCGATAGGATACAGCTGGACATTTACACCTCACATCAACGGATCATCTCCTCGGACCACAAGCCCATCATTTCCGTCTTCACACTTGACTACGACGCCGTGGTGCCCGACCTGAAAGCGAAGGTCCACGCCGAGGTTGCAAAGGAGCTGGACCGGGCCGAAAACGAGGGGCGGCCGCTCATCACAGTTATTCTGGATAACCACGATCTTCAGGCCAAGGATGAGACGGGAGCGGTGGATATTGGCGAGGCCGTGGACTTTGGAGACATTGGATATCGCAGCAGACACACTGCCACGCTGACTCTCGCGAATACCGGGCGCGTCCCAGCCAAGTTTGCTTTTGTCGAGACGCCTACCATCGAGGACGACTCTGATTCGTCTAGTCCGCCGTCATGGCTCAGAACATCATTCAAACGGGCCGACGTTGAAGACGGAGAACAACCGGACCTCGGCAGTGAAGTGACACTCGAACCAGGCGAGACAATCAGCGCTGTCTTGGAGGTGCACGTCAACGACATGTCTCACGTAAGAGCCCTCAACGACGGCCGCTCATCGCTGGAAGACATCCTGGTTCTTCGCGTGGAAGACGGCCGGGACCACTTCATTCCCGTCCGCGCCTCCTGGCTCCCGACATGTTTCGGCAGATCGATCGACGAACTCATCCGCACTCCGGACGGAGGAATCCGCAAGTTCGTCAGGTCACGGGTCCCCAATGGCTCAGGCTCGATCCCTTATGATCTCGACGTCCATTGCGCGGCCCCCAAGGAGCTCTTCAAACTCACCGAGGCTGTCGAAGTGATGACCTCCCGCGCCATCGCCGACGCAAACATGATTGAGGAGCACCTCATCCCAGGCGACAAGCCCGGCTGGCCGTTCGACGACACGGCGTGGTTGTTCAAGGACAGAGACGCCCGCGACGCGCAGGTGCTTGCACTCATCGAGGCCCTCGACACAGACCAGCCCCTCGTCGACGCTCTCCCCGTTGAGACGCCCTCCCTGCACCGCCTCGAGGTTATTGCTGAGGTCCTCCTCCTCTTCCTGTCAGGCCTCACGGATGGTATCATCACCGCGTCCCTCTGGGCCAAGATCGAGGTCGCCATCCCGCAAGTCGCAACCACATCACGCCCCGCTCGCGAGATCGAGGACGATAAGACAGCCGTCCTCGACATCCTCGCCACCGCGCCGAATCACAATATCGCCTTCGTGTTCCTGACGGCCACGCTGTCCAAGGTTGTCTCGGAGCTCGCGCCGATCTCGAGGTCCGAGGTCGAGGCGCTGACGATGCCGAAGCCTAACCGGCGGAGTCTGAGCTTCAGGCGGCTAACTGGCGGGAATGCCGCGGCGGAGGCGGCGCTGGCGAGGCGGCGCACAAGGGAGAGGAGGGTCGCCGAAGTCTGTGGGAGGGCGGTTTGCAGGGTTGGCGTGCCAGCTGCGGCGAAGGAGAGGAAGGCTGTGGAGGAGAGGGTCAGGGGGGTTTTGGAGATTTTCGTGAGGACGCCGTTGGAGGAGGGATAAACGGGCAATCGAGCTAGGTAAATGAATTGAAGTGTGGTCTGAGTGAGTGCATGTGTCTCTGATGGTTGCTTCTGTTATGCGGGTATGGTGTTTGCGTTGTCGCACTCATCGTCGTTGTCGCCCTCTTCGTCGTCGTCTTCGTCGTCTTCGTCGTCTTCGTCCTCGTCGTAGTCTAATCATCATGCAAAGACTGGAGTAATGAGGTTGGTAGATCTCACCAAGTAAGCCCAATTCGTCGTAACTTGAGCTAGGGGGTCACGGTTATGCGAGTACTGGGAGTGGATACACGTACGCTATATATCTTGTAGTCAGAGACGTGCTTTGTCGTTTCCTTCGGAGCGGTAATCGGCCGGGAGCTTGGCTTGCAACCAGGGATTTGGGGTGATGGCGTATAAATTCGGCCATCAAGGACCGACGACATGAGACGCCGGGGCAATGTGCGCTGTGAAAGGTCTGCTTTGTTAGATTGGTGGACGAGTAAACAGATCGTCTTCATGTGGGCTTGAGCGAGCTGTGGCGGGACGGGAGATCACTGGATAGTGGTGTCCTGTTATCAGGGGAGAGTGAAGGCGAATAGTTAGTCGATGGTGAAGAGGGACGGAGTGTAGTTGGGGGCGCGACGCCTGCCGGGTTATTAGTTACGGTTCCTGCGGTTGTTGTGGTTGTCATCTTGTCGTGGCTGATTCTTGAGCAGCTCGAATGGCTTTGTAATCACACACACAGCTCACACAGCTCACACACATTTGTGTTTGCTTTTGAAGTTGAAGTTGATCGTGACCTGTACTTATACGCAAGCACGACAGTAGGGGGCTGCTCGGGAGGTTGGGGCAACAGCGGGCTGCGGCAAGACATGGCTGGGGAAGGGGGGAGAGTGTGAGAGACTGAAGAGTTGCAGGTATAAAAGGGGGAGGTACCGCTTAATTTCAAAAGCGGTAGACAATACAGTCGCATTAGAGTGGGTGCTATGTGTCGCGTGGCATGCGACGATGGACAGCGCGTTGGCGACAGGCGGGTAGTCGGGTAGTCGTTGACTTGACGCGGCGTTGGGACTTTGCCAGTGTCCTGCTTCATCTCTCTTGGAACATTTGTTGGGTATTCCGATGTGAGCTCGAATGGGTACTGGCATGCCTGCAGGCCTCCAACCTTCCGTATCCAGTCATGGCACCCTAAAGAGATTGGGAGACACCACTGGAGAACCCAATGATCTGCCGCCCGTTTGGTTTGCGATATTATTGGTTGGTATATCCTTGACTGGTGCCCTGCTTTGATATTTATACCTTTGGGATTGAGAGCCCATGGGATTGAGTAAGCGTCCTGTGAAGGTATAAAATGGCAAGCAAACTTGTTTTTGAAGGTACAGGTAACAAGTCTGATTGCTTCCTCTATTCCAAAATGAATGTGAAGCTGGCAAGATCTGTCGCCTAACGCTTTTGCATGGTAATCAAAGATCACATAGAACAGCTCAGGTTTACGCCTCGATGGCACACTCCCGCCATCATCTTGCTTGGTAGTAGGAGGAGTACGCGAGAAACAGAATGGTTCCTAAGTTCGGAACACGATACCCGACCACTCCAAGCGTCAAGTCTGTTTAGTCAACAGATCAATTGGCGTTTACCGTGGGCTTGTGATGAATGTTAGTAGCCGAGCATCGCAATACTTGATTGTCTGTTCTATGAGTTGGAACGATGTTCGCGGGTTTTATATACAACTCACCAGTATGCGAATTTGGTAGTGGGCTACGGAGGCGTTGAATAATAAGTCAGTATTCATACACATGTGGGACAGAATCCTAATGTTTCCTGAGCAGGCGAGAAGTTCTCCGAGAGGTCACTGGGCAGTTTTCTAACGGGCCGACCGTTGAGGAACATCTAGTTGCAACATCTGTGGCACTTAGGCTTCTGACGCAAGACTTAAAGACCTCATTTTTATCTCCCATTATCTGTCATCGTGGCAGTTGGTGGATACTTCTAGAATACTTCACGGACTAGATTTGCACCCGGAAAGGCGAGTCTCTCACGATTGAAATGCTCATGTGACTCGTGTCAGCGTTCACAGGTAGATAGCTGAACAACAGTGTTCCATCGTCAATAATTGCTGAAGGTATATACATGGGAATATCCAGGTCTTTTATAAAGGAAAAGACTGCTCAGCAAAGAGTGTGCGCAGATCGAGTAACATACCTACCTCAGGAGGGCGACCGTCATGACGAACAACACCCCCTAACTTTTCTGTGATAGACTGACTTTCGGTTTGCTCCCTCTGATCATCCTTGTCGTTTCCCATTGAGGTACTGGAGTTTGTTGTCGTCCACGGTTGAGATAAATCTTCAAATTCACCTTCGAGCAATGTCGCCTTCATTCACCCTGATCTTGACTGAATTATGAGTGAAGTTGATCTATGAGCCATAGTAACTTCCTTGAACCAAAGGCAGAAAAGCGACGTGTCATTTCCTAAACAGACGTGGACCTGTTTTCAATGTTCGCCGAATGACTGTTGCTTTTGGATGTGGCTAAGCTGCGGCGGTGCCAACGGCCTTGTGAACACCCGCAGCAAGTGCCAACAGCATCTTGTGAGCATTTAAGCGCCGGCTGGAAATTTACGGAGAAGGCATCAAAATGGAGAGCATGTCAGCGACGCTGCCTTCAGCCCCTAAAACCGGCCGGAGTTAAGGTAGGCGAGCGGAGCGACGAGGTGGTGTTTGGAGAAACGCTTCCGCGGAGAAGCTCAGCCTAACTCAGCGATTCGGAGTCAGGTTTAACGCCCAGGTTGCTCAAGTAAGCTGCGAGCAAGGCACCCAATATTATCTAGATCAGCGAATTGCTTGAGGACAAAAGAACATGAGAAAGAGACAGAAACGTAACAGTTGCAAAGAGAATAAATAACTCTGCACTAGGCTAGAACAACCACCAATATCACAGCCGAATGGAGTAGGTAGTTCAAGTATCTCCGCCAGGGTATTCCACAGTGAAAAGCTCAGGAAGTGAGCTTGGTCTTGGACTGATGAACGGTACCTAATGTTATCAAAGCCTGAATCCGCTACAAGCTGAGGATGGAAGAGAGACCACAGGCTTATGGCACTCATTACTGGTCATGACGAGGTTCGGAATACCGAACCTATGACATCATTCAATGCCGATAACACCGAAGCCCGTGCGTGGCGGCAAAGAAGATCTTTAGAAAGTATCAAATCATACGGGTAGAAATATTCAGATCAGCATGCGCACACGCGTTAGAGGTTGATCAGGTGAACAGGTAGTTGCGCCAACGCTGCGCCTATTCTTTAGCCATAAACGTTCAGCATGTCAAGAAGAATGACACAAAGTGCCAATTCTCTGACACATTAGCATATAGATGTCGACAATCGTAAAGGTAGATCGATTTGGGATGATAAAGATCAAGTCGAGGAACCATTCGCATACGCAGATCTGATTCACTGCATACCAGTGGCTACCCAGTCTTAGTTGATCTATTAGCCCGTGACTAGAGATATCTGTCTCGTTCCCGAGTCTCTCTTGATTTTCGCGACACCGGGACAAATCTCCAGGTATACCCTTCCTTGGGGCATGTCAATCGACCATACTTACCATGGACGGTGAATACGAGTTATTGATAAAGCGATCGCACTCTGAGTCCGAATTTCGACGATCAAGCGATCGCACATTGAGTCCGAATTTCGGAATGATGAGGCAATCGCACTTTGAGTCCGCATGAGTCCGCATTTCTGGGTCTCGAATGGCAGGACACATTGAGCAATGTGTCATCGAGCATTGATGATAAAAAGAGATGATCAAAGTGCGTCGACGGCGATGCCGCTGAGGATTTGACCGCGGTCATATGAGATGCCTAAGGCGGGGTTCTTGAAGCGCTTCTAAGATATCTCGTCGATGACGGAAGCAAAGCACGGGGAAGGCCAATTGTGACTTCAGGAACTACTGACACTTTTGCATGGACAATGCCCAATGGTTTCGCTAGTCGGAAACTGAATTCCGGCTCTACGGCAATGACTAGATGTGACATTGACGTTATGAGGCTGTTGACATGGCGCTGCTGCGCGGATCACGCGGGCCACGCGGGCTACGCGGTCTGCGCTATGTTAGAAAGGAAAGGAGACAGGATTGACCCTTGTAATCTGATTGACTCAATAGGTAGGAGAACTGCCAGCTCATGACTAAATATCTCCGTACTAGACATACTGAAAACGATCATTCAATGAATGAAGTCGGTGCTGTCGTCTTCATCTCCTTAACACATTCATTGACTGGTTCCTAAAGCTCTCAAACAACGTCCCAGCACCTTTGCCATTGCGGCAGCTGAAGACAGTCTGCCTGCCGATATTCATTTTCTTACTACTTAGTCATCATGATCTAGGCGAGTCTATTCGCAGCTGTTCCAGACCAACGAAATTACCGCCGTACGGTCCCAGCAACTTCGCTGACAGCACCAGCTTTCCGCTCGGAGCTCATCCCAATTAGGGTTGCAGAAATCCTACCACCCAAGGCGTACTTCGATAGGCTCACATTCATTACACCAACATCAAGATGGCACGTAAGTTTCCTTACAAGATGTTGGCAAAGACTGACGTTGAAAAGTCGACCCTGGACCAACAGCGCAGCATTTGGCTTTCAACGTTGGAAAGTTACCAGCACCGTTTTCATGTAGCAAGAGAAGACGTTACGGCCAGATTCCACAGGCAACAGCAACTAGTGGACCAGGACTTACACAATGACTTCTGCTTCATCAACCAGAAACGCCTAGAACGCGACGTCGTAGGCCTCTTCGATCGTTATCAATCAGAGATTCGGGCACTTCGAAGGGCCGAGAACGAAAGAGAATACGCACATGCTCTTGAACAATTGAGAATGGAAGAGGAAGAAGTAATGCGTAAGCACCAATCAATGTTTCCGCTGCCGACAATATCAATAGCACGAGCTCCGAAGGAGACACCATTTAGGCCGACGGCCATACGCCCAGCGACAGCCTTGGCACGTACTGCCATGGTGGCATCCCCGGCAGAGGCCCGATCATGGTCACCACAAACCCAGATTTCCCTACCACCTGACGCTCGTTTTAGAGAAGAATTATACCATCAAAGGCATATTTCATCAACGCGTCGTCCAACTAACAATGCTGAGTTTGCTCTTCGCTCTGACAGTACATTATCTGTCCCACACAACACGATGTCTAGGTCTCACGCAGACTTCCATCCGTACGAGACCCTGGCAACTGGCAGGTTTCATCACGACAGAGATAGCGCTTCCCCTGGCCACGCTTCGGGTTCATGGCTTGCCGGAATTGACGGTCGCTCTGAGCGAAGGATTGATCAATTTCGGGCAAGTGAGGCCAAACACGATTCATCACCAAATCACGTCAGGCCGTCACAAACAGCGAGGCATGACCACTTGATGAGAATCGATGATAGAAGCGGCCTACAAATACACCGGGAAAGAAATGCGATTACCTCAAATAATGGGTACTTGCAACCTGCAAAGTCAAGTAATGAAATGATAGAGTTTGACGAAGTTTACCAAGACGGTAAAGCTGAGTTCAAGCATACGATTATTAAGTTCTCGAGCAAGTTTTACATTTTGAAGTATGCTTTATTGCAATTACCAACTCAAAAGCATCATACTAACTGATGGCAGGTGCGACAAGCATGGCGTTCATTTCAGACAAAATGCTCTTATCGCAGCCGCGAAGCATCTCAATAGTGCTCTTCACGGTTTCCTGAAAAAGGACTTCCGCCAGGCCATCGACTTACTTGGCATCCGTGTCGTCAATTGTACTGATGAACTGGCTAAGCTGAACAACGATTGCGTGCGCCATGCTTTTGAAATGGGATACAAGCCCATGAACCTATTGCGAAGCCGATATGATCCCCGCTCACGTCACGATACGCCCACGCCTCCTCCCGAACGAGGTCTGTCGCTGCCAGCAGTCTCTCAGCAGACACTACAAAAGGAAAACGTATCGGAAGACGTTTTGAACCCCAAGCCAGGGGATCTCTACTGGGCCAATTGCCCGAAGACCAATAAGACGTCCGTCGTGATGGCCTTGGGATGGAAGGACCTATCAATGTGCGGGCGTGACGATATGTTTTGCGATCTGAATTTGCATAAAGATATGCCCAAGCCTCGTTGTTATGAATTTGACAAAGAGGGAATCATCAGTTGGGCTGCAGGTTACGGTGATGGGGAGTCGCTGGTGTCGGCTCGCGAGGTACCGGTAATGCGGTGCGAGAGTAACGGAGAAGACTCCTTCATGTGGACGAGCGTACGACTGTTGATGCCGTTCAGCCTCGACGACCCCAGCCAAAGCTCCGGTGCCGATGCAGGTGAACTTCGAACCTTACAGGTTTATGCCAGAATTCGAGGCTTTGACTCGTTCGAGAGCATGTTCGCTCATCAGGCTACGGAGGACCCACACCGAAAGCATTCGAGTGTCGTAACAAAATCGCATTCTGCGGGAACTCATTCGGCATCCGAGTTGCCAAGCATCGAACCACATAGCCCTCAACGATTTACTCTAGGCACGGAAGTTTTGGAAGATGATGCCGTCATGGAAATCTGTAGTACACCACCGGCCGGTTCAAGCAACCTTGGCAACGCCGAGGAAGCTGTGAGACGCACCATAGAATCGCCCTGCAGACCTCTCTGTCATACGCCCAACGTCCAAGAAGCCAACTTAGCCTGCCATGAAATTCGCGCCAATGGCTCTTCAACGACTCCTATACCACTGAATGCCGAGATAGAAGCCCAGCCAGAGAAAGTTGCGACTTTCGAAACCAGCTCCTTACCCAATGCCAGGGAGGAGACTTCTTCTCATAGCCCGGCAGCATCAGTGGTATCGTTCTCAGAGCAGCTTCGCCCAGGCCGAATTAGAGAGGAGGCAATCAGACCGCGCCCACTGCACGCTGGGCACCATGCGGACACCATAGAGGTCTCGCTATCTATGCCCAATGCATCATTTCAACAACAATCACAACTTGAAGTTGACAGAACGCGTACAGCTTCCACGCTCGCTAGGCACAGGAGGAAATCGCAGCGCGCAGTTGTCCGGCAATTGAGAAGTCGGCTCGTCTCGACTGACAGTCTTACGTCCGGAACACGGCGCAAGTAGCAAGACGGGGAAGCCACAGCTTATTGTTTCGACATCAAGAATTGGTTGGAGAGCGACCAAATTTCTATCTGGAGGGCTGCCACAGCATCTCTCAGACGATTAAGAAAATCTAGATAACAGCCTTAAGATTATCAATGTGGTGGTTGCAACGCATATAGCTTTATCAATACCACGATATTGGCCTTCTGCTGTTGAGTTTATGTTCTTTTTACGTGGACGTAGGAATCCTCTGTTGGGACCTTGACCTTGTATCTTTAGCATGTAAGGCAAGAGGCGGGGAATTTGGAATCCGTCACCAATTACGTTGGAAGTAGGCTCTGCTGATGAGAGCTCAGCAAATAATTTTGATTAGATTGCAACGTTCACTTATGGCAGAGCCATTGCGATCTACAACCTCAACTCAGGGGCTCAACATTAATCCAGAGTTTTGCTATCTGGGCGGGTAGAAGGTAGAGACAACAGTAGGGACAGAGACGACATAGGCAATAGGGATAACAGGGACGACAAGAACGATAAGGACGATAAGGATAATAGGGATAATAAAGTTATCAATGAAAAGATCTTAGACCCGGCACGACACATTACTTATCCGCCGAGTTAGCTAGACTCTTAATCCAGACCTCATCCTATTAACATCTGATTTCTATATTTCAAGCCTACTTCGTAAAGATCGAGGCCATGTTAAGAAGGCTAGGTATAAGTGTGCCATAGTTCAAACCATATGTGGCCAAGAAAATGTATCGAATGGAAGCCCGCCACCCCTGTAAGTAGTTGTTAAAGACCACGAGTGCAGCCAAAACGTAGCAGCTTCAAATCTCCATCACTCATACCATTCAGCCCGTTTGATAGGTAGGGTGGTTGGATGTTTTCAAGCCAATCTGGAACCTTGGCGACTTCGAGACCACCCCTCCAATCATCTCGCCGTGGTGCTGTCTTTAACGCAGCGATGTGGCACAGGATGGGGTGCGAGAAGCAGGCCCTCGACTGCTAACCTCGACTTGACCAATCGAGGCGCACAAAGTCTTCAGTCCATGGGTTCGACCCACTACAATGCATGCACTGCCGCATGCAGTGTGATCAATTGGTTGAGCAGCTTGATGAGCATGCATCTATGCGTCTCCGGAGCAAGGTCTTATTTACTGACACGAGTCCCCGTCATTGTGTGTGCCGAAATGTCAAATTTTGATTGTTCAAATCCCCTCGCTTTTTGAAAAACACAGATTACTTCATTGAAAGCCTGGTCTCTTCGTTGACCGAAGGTCATTTCACCATGCAGCTCGTTTCCAAGCTTCGAAAGAAATATCGATCCAAACAGAGCGATGGACCATCATTGACCACCTTGCACTCGGATACTTCTCCAGCCACATCAGCGACACCCACGACGGCATCCACACTCTCGAACTTCCCCGCCTCTGAAACGTCTACGACCACGAATACGCTGGCCTCTATCAGTCTTCAAGAACTGCGAAGACAAATTTGGAATGATGCTTACGACGAAGCCAAGAAAGACGAACCGAAAATATTCGAACAATACGAGCAGATCCTCTCTGTCCAGCTGCGAAAGACTAGTACCCGAACTTCCGATGCTGCAAACGAAACAGATGCCATCAAACAGGACACGCTGGGTAGGCAATTGCAGATGATTAAGCTCGTCGAATTGGGTCTAGAGAAAACAGAGAAGAGGGCAATGGTCAAAGGAAAGATCATGGAAGGAATGCAGCCTGTCCTGAACATTAAAGAGTTCATCGCCACCGCTGTCAAATCTGAGCCAACTGCTGCTATCGCCTGGGTGGGCGTCACGACCTGCATGGATGTAAGGAGCTCCACCAAGGCGGAAAAGCCCCCACTGATAGTCTCGCAGATCATAACCAATCCCGTCACTGAGCCGGGCATCAATCGTGACGGTGTCAAGTTTGTACTCGAATGAAGCCGGTGGCATAGGGAGTTGACGCAACTTCTGCTCGATATCCGCGAGACTGACACGTCTCTGATCGAGTTGCAAACGCAACTGAGAGCTCATATTGCTCGTCTCTACAAGAAGCTCCTGCTGTATCAAATCCAGAGCGTTGTCTTGTACAACAGAAAACTAGCGGGCGTTCTCATTAGAGACGTCTTCAAAGTTGACGATTGGCAACAAAAGATCGATGCGATTCAGAGTGTCGAAGAAGCTTTGCGCAAAGATGTGGAACAGCATAACTCTGAAGAGCTGAAAGGACGCCTTCGAGATATCGACAGCACCCTGAAGGACCTGCGATTGGACATCAAAGCAGTGGAGACTGCGGTTGAACAGCAAACCTTGATCTTGCGCAAGCTTCATCACGACGACAAGGATAAGGAATGCTTTGCGCGTTTGTGTGTCATCAACCCAGAAATTCACAAGGCAAAGATTCAGCGGACAGGAGGCGGACTCCTCAAAGATTCTTACGAATGGATACTCGACCATGAAGACTTCAGGAGGTTCCATTCTAACCCACAGAATCGTCTACTTTGGATCAGAGGTGATCCAGGCAAGGGAAAGACAATGCTTCTCTGTGGTATGATCGACGAGCTGAAGGCCGAGTCCTCACGTCCGTTGTCTTATGCCTTCTGTCAGGCAACCCATAGTGATTTCAAGAGCGCGACCTCAGTACTCCGCAGTCTGATATGGCTTCTCTGCAAGAATCACCCAGATCTAGTCTCGCATGTTCGAGAGAAATACGATGTTGAGGGCGAGTTATCACTCAAAGACATCAGTACCTTACAAAGCGTACTCGGCAAAATGCTTGGAGAACCGTATTTGAGAGATGCGATCTTACTGGTCGATGCTCTAGATGAGTGTTCAACCGATCGGACAGAGCTCATGGACATTATCAGCGAGTTCTCTGGCTCCTTTCCAGCCAAGTGGATAGTCTCGAGCAGAAACTGGCCTGAAATTAACGAACAACTGCAACAAGCGCAAAAGAACATCCTGTCTCTCGAGTTGAACAAAGAATCCATATCTCAGGCTGTGAGTATGTTCGTGAGACACAAAGTCAAAGAACTGGCACTGCGCAAAAGATACAGCCCGAAGACACGGGAAGCTGTTCTTGAAGCCCTTCCACGGAAGGCCAGAGACACTTTTATCTGGGTGGCCTTGGTATGCGCAGAGTTGAATCGGGTCCAAGAACGACATACCATGGCGCAGTTGGAATCAATCCCTGGAGACCTCACGAGACTCTACGACCGTATGCTGGAGCATGCAATTGAATCTCGCGATGCAAATTCCTGTCGGCATATTCTCAGCGTTGCTTGCGCAACGTTCCGGCCACTAACTCTCTGTGAACTTCAAGTTCTCGTTCAGGAGCTGGGTGTGCACAGCCACGATGTGCTGCGAGAAATAATCGGAGAATGCGGTTCATTTCTTACTATCCAAGAGAATACGGTCTATTTCATCCACCCGTCCGCGCAAGACTTCCTCGTCCAGCAAGGAAAGAACAGACTCTCTCTTTCCAGCACCCGGGACCTACATCATCAATTGTTTGTCCAATCACTGGGTAGTCTGAAGGAGCTGAAGCGCAATCCTTACAAACTGGACTCCCCTGGGGCTTTTGCAAGCGACATTGTACGCCCTCGGTCTGACCCATTGGCCTCGCTCGAATATTCCTGCGTCTATTGGATTGATCATCTCAAAGAGGTGAGTGATGCGAGAGCCCTATCAGATGATAACCAGGTTGAGGCATTCGTCCGAAAGTCCTTCTTGCACTGGTTAGAGGCTCTCAGCATACTTCAAAAATTACCGGAGGCTGTCAAAGGCATACAGACACTCGTTCAGATTGTGGTAAGTGTGCTCGTATCAACCCCAAGATTCTTTGTATTCAGGCCTAATGCGTCGATCAGGCCAACACAGAAAATCGAAGCCTGAAGAAGATAGTTGACGACATGAGACGATTCATTCGTTTGCACATAGACGCCATCGAGATCGCGCCTCTCCAAGTTTACAATTCGGCACTTGTGTTCAGCCCTTCCGGTAGTACAATCAGAGAGATGTTCAAACTTGAAGAGCCGGATTGGATCAAGCTGAAGCCAAAGATGGCAAGCAATTGGGACCCTTGCATTCAGACACTTGACGTCGATAAGAAGTATAGGTAAGTTGAGGATATGCAGTTTTCCTCCGACGGTAGATTATCCGTTTTGACGCAGTCGCGTAGCATTGTAAGTTGGGACGTAATTTCCAGCCGCCGCCTGCACACAATCAACATCGCCAAGGAAGGCGATGAACTTCGGTACCGCCGGGGACACATCATCTTGTTGTCCCACAATGGAAGATTTCTCGTGGGTTCATCTTTTGATGGCGCTTTCCATATATGGGATGTCGAATCCGGTGAAAACATGGACTGTCTGCGACCACCTTATAACCCCGATTGCAGTATCAAAGGAATTGCGTCTTCGCCTCATGGACGGTCTCTAGCTCTCATTTCTGCCACCCAGACGCCGGACGAAAGTCCAGTCGAGACGACGACGATATGGGATTGGCCTATTTTCAAAAATCCTATAGTGCTGCAACTTCCCGAAGACGGGCATGCAGCGTCCTTGTCATTCTCTTCGGATGGTAAGCTTCTAGCGTCAACTCATGCAGAAAGCTTCATAGTCTGGAATTCGGAAGACGGTTCTTGTGTCTGTGAGATCAGAGATATGTCAGACGAACTCGAACGTCCTAAATCAATATTCTTGGACGAAAGTCGCCTCGCTTGTAGGTCAGCTCGCACAACCGTCAAAATTTGGGACACAAGAGCCCGTTGTCGTGTTCAGACTCTTCAATTCGACCACGTGGTTGAGGCAATTGCGTCCATGGGAAGAAAGAAGCAACTCGCTGTCTCCTCGGGCCAGTCTATTTCCGTATGGGATGACGGAGGGTCTTGTATCCAAAGGTTTCAAACAGTCATTGGGGTTAGATCGCTCGCATTCTTTGCCGGCCAGAACTTGCTCGCTTCAACATCTTGCTCTATTAGCCAACCTATTTGTCACGGGCTAGAGCCCGGATTGATATCTCCGGCTTCGCCGGAGCAGTTACCGAGATCCGGCTCCGTTGGACCCACTATTCTGCCGCAGTACGCCGCCTAACCCGGGCTGCTTCACCGCTGTTAGGTGCCTACCCTTGTA